GGAGGACAAGCGGACACAGCTGCAGAAGAGAAGCTCTATATTAAAGTTCTGATGCACTGGGACCATTACTCACAACTTTTTTCATGGTGGTGTTCACATGCAGGCCAATAAGCTCACTAAAATAGCATTTACATTTTAAAATATGTGCTGCTCACAAGCCATTTTACCCACAGAACATTTATGTGATTGTCACATTTACTTGTTACTGCTTTTATAATCTGCTTTTGCAACTCCACTCCAAAATGTGAAAGTGGCACATGAAGCCAAGAAAGTCCCTTCCTGCTGCAAAGAAATGACCCGGATGAAAACATTACCGCATTAGAGACTTCCTCTGGTCGAGCCAGCTAACTTCTGCTGTAGCCCTCCATTAACTTGAATGTGGATAAATTATTAAATCTTCTCAACTTGTGAAAAATGTTATTGGACTGAATGGATCACATTCTGACAGTGAAACGAGTCATTTCTTGCAGGTTGTGACGTTTGAAAAAAAAAAAAAAAAATGTATCCAACGTTTCCCATCTGCCTCTTTCACAAAGCAACATTATAGGAAAAGCTGTTTTTGGGCCAGTGTGCATCACGTGTAATTACAGCAATGGTGTCCATTGCTGTAATTACACAGTTTGGCCACGATATCAAATTGGCTTCAAAGCCCAGCGCTTTCTGGGGGCTTGGGTGATAAGCTAAAACTAATTTCTTGCTTCCTGGTTTGCTTCTGCACATGCTCAATAATGTTTCTCTCCTTGGCTCCACCTGCACACAGCCCCCCTCCATATATTCTACATTAGGATGACGTAACAAACAAAAAAACTAAAATATTTGTGGCTTATAAATTCACAATACAAAGAATAATAATTTACCTAATTTTCAGTTTGAGGTGTCCTTTAAACATTTTTACTGAGGTCTGTACAATGGAGGTCTTTGGGGGAAATGCTTTTTAGGCTGCAGTGCTATTCTTTTTAATGTAGTACCTGTAGTCACTGGGGTACATTACCAGTGAGTGTGAGTGACGGTGCTATATCCAGCTGTCTAGGTTGGAGACCTTTTATCTATGTTTAGTTTGTCAGACTTTGCAAACAGTAAGTTGACCTCCATCTTAGTACTGTTGCACTAATTTTGGCATGTTTACGCTCATATTTTAAAAATGTTTCATGATTCAAGTTCACTTTCTTGTAATAAACTGAATGATAAAATGAAGTCTATACAAAACTAATGGTCAGCAGCAGTAACTGTGGGGATTACAGATTAGACCTAATGTGCATCACAACAGGGTTTAAAGGGAACAACAACAGAGACCATGTGGTCTACATATGGCACAGATGGGCTTCCTGCTGACCAGATTAACCTGCGGCAGACTCCACTCCACTCTGGCGTTGTGTGAGTTACACTGTTTGTGAAACAACGCCGCCAACGTGTCAGAAAACACAGCACTCAAGTCTGCTGGCACTTGTCATCCAGCGAGAACACTGTTTAATCAGCTTCTACTGCTACATTCATACAACACGCTGCTTTGTGCACAGTCCGCCGTTGTTGGCCTGGTTTTTATGAACTCGAGGTGTGTATTTGCAGTAGTCATATGTCTGGTGCAGGGCCTTGTCTATAGGTGTGGTGGGTGTGAAACAAAAGCTGGCAAACTGTCACTGGATTCATCACAGCAAAAGGGATTACAAATCATTTAAACCATGACACTAAGGGCTCGGCTCTCATTTGCCATTTAAGCCAGATTTAAACTTGACACAAGGGGTTATAGTTGTCCTACACTAGATAAATAAGGCATTTGTAGTTTGTAGTTGAGCGTTAGATTTTATCCGCTGATCGCTACTGCGACACTAGACTGATGAGACATTTACTATAAAGGCTATATTGTGCTTTAAATACTTTTGGCAAGCGAACCGTTTGTCACTGTATGCACAAACTGAACCTTTTCCACTGGTGAGTGAATATGGATACACACCATATTAGTCTGAAAGCTTATTTGTTTAACTGATGTGAGAAAACGGATGGGTGTGTGTGTGAGTAACACAGGAGCTTCCATGCTTAAAAGTACACATCGCCACAACATCCTGAACAAAATGCAGAAGACACAAGTTGGACGTGCACATTATTGCATGTAATATGTGTGTCACATAATGATGTAACCAATGAGAGCGGAACAGCCGATCCCTAGCATTCTGGAGAGGAAACACGCTTGTATCTGTACAAGTATTGGTCCTACTTATAGCTACTGTATCAGAACATATTGAACAGATCTCTGGGACTATTAAAATGTCCCTAGCCTTCCCACCAGTAACCATGGGTGTTGCCAAATTAACCATAATGAAAATAATCTGTCTCCATTTTGTTGTATTTTATTGTACTTTGTGTTTTTGTTGTTCGCTTTGAATAACAAAAAAAAACAAAAAAAAAAAAAACAGTTCAACATACCATTTCTAGGGTCACCTCTCTTCTCTGCAAAAAACAAATTAACACAATTATTGTTTAGAACAAAATCAGCAGGACTGGTCTAAATAAAGAAAACATGAAAAGGAAAATCAGAATATTTAGGAAGCGAGAGAAGAGGGTGAGCTGTCAGAAAGTGTAGTTAATGTGATTCTGTGGCGGCTACAGAGAAGCAACACTTTTAAAGCCCTCAGGTGTAAAAGCTGCTTGAGGAAATATGGAGCATGCTATGGGCAAAACAGCCAGACAGAGCGTTAAGGAAGTCTTTAACATGAGCAGAGGAAGATAAGCAAAAGCTTTGGGAGATTAGTCTGTGTCTGATAAAAAACTTCCCCCCTACAAACGTTCTGTGCCCCAGCTCTGTGAGCCTTTGGGCCTTTAGTCATCATCAGCTCGCACTGCAGTGGTGCACTTCAAAAGGCCGGCATGCTGAGAGCAGCTGGGAGGGAAGCCAAAGAGGACCCTCACTGCACAGACGTTTACTATACAGACACAGGCTTACTACAGCAGAGAGACACACACTGAGCTCACAGGAGCAGAGAAAAGAAGGAAACTGTCCCAAACCAAGCCTTAACTTGTGTCCTCATCAAAAAAAACACCTTTACAGATTTCACATTTTGACTTATACCCTTCTCATACAGCAGACTGACACACATATGATGTTTGATGCTAATTTAGCCAGCTACACTGTAGGAAAATGCTTCCACACACTCTTACTGATGGGTCAATAGGGCAGAAAATAGGTCAAGCTGAACACAAAACTACTAAAAGCTTCAAACGGTCTGTTGCACTTACAGAGTTCATAAAGGCCATTGCAGTTCAAATATGGAACTGACACTGTTAGCAGACAGTCCAGTCTTCAGTACAGTTCATTCACCGATAAACCAGATATTTATACTGAATTACATCCAAAAATAGATGCACATGTTCACCCGTCTCTTTTGATTTGAAGAGTCTGTTAAATTATGCTTAGATTTTATTAAATTAATTTCCATCACTAATATCTGGCTGTAATTGGCAAAGCGCCTCACAGCACAGCCAATCAGGTTCCTGGATGGCAACCCGCATCGAGTATCCCATATATGTGTCAACCAAAGTCAAATCTTAGTCAGGAAGAGGACCGGCATTGCATTCACAGTGTAAATGGGGTGTTAAACCGCAGAGATGTAAATAGGACAAACATCAGGAATCAGTGGCATCTGTGAACGACATTTTGGTCCTATATTTTGTACCTTGCCTTTTCCTGAAACGCTTTATTTTGGCGATTTCTATATCTTCAATCATTCGAGGCTTCAATCTTAAAGAAGAACTCCACAATAAACTATCGATGATTGACTGACAGACCAAAGAACCCTGTACACTGTCAATCACTTATGCTCACTTTCTGAACTGTTTAAAGAGAGATTACCGGGAATGTGGGATTGTTTGTATCCTTCTAAATCTTCCTTTCTATGCACATATTCTCAAAATCCATTCAAAGATAATATTGGCAGCAAAACCATGAATCTTCTGTGTTTACTATTGTTGCTAACTCTAGCTCATATTCACTTTTCTTGAGATGCAGATACATAAATTCATTTCAGAGTTTAGTTCCTGGGTTGATTGGATTTTATAAGCATCATCTCCCTAGTGCAGCTGGACAAGAGCAAGGCAGACAGGTTTGGGACTGCGGTTGAGGTCTTGTTAGCAGAAGAGGCGGTAAGTATTCTTCAGTCTGAGCCGGGTGTGAAAGGTGAAAGGTCGCACAGGTTAAGGAAGCAGAGAGAGAAGACAAACAGAGGCAGTAAAACTTGCCGGTTTTACGTTGTCGTCGGTTGAGCAGGTCATTGATAGCAGCTCTGAATCTTTTGGCCTCTTCTTCACTGGCGAAGTTCAGACCGATCTGACAGGTCTGAGAGGAAGAAAAGGAAAAGTCACATGATTATTACAACATCTTCATCTTTAAATAAAAATAAAAAACAGAAAGATTACAGAGCAATAGACTGCACAGCTTGTATAAGGATGGGCGGATCAGAACGGATGCATTGTTAGCTTCTAAACCTGACATTTAATTATGAAAATCTGTCCTCAAACAAAAACACTGATAGCACGTCATATCAGTGATGACCAGGTACTGCCTGCAGTTATTTATACTGTTGGTTCACTTACAGGAGCAGGATCAACTCAACATTCATAAGCAAAAATGTGCCATTTATTTCTGATTTAGATGTTTCCTCATGATTTACCAACACTCTGGCTTTATCTTCTTCTTAAGAAAATTACTTAATTATTATAAAGATGAACATCTGTGGGTGCCTGGTTAGCTCAGTCAGTAGAGCTGGTTACCCATGTACGGAGTCGCCCGATTTCGAATCCGACCTGCGGTCCTTTGATAATATTGTAAAACTGTTGAAAATTGTTTTCATTGACTGATACTCACAAAGCCCAGGTTGTGCTTTTTGGTACTTAACGTAAGGGTTTAAACAATAACTTTGTGCAACACAATACATAATGATGTGTCAGTTTAAGATGATCACAGTGAGTCCAGCACTTACAACAGGATCACATTTCTACTGCTGATTTGCTAATTACAAAACATTTCCCTGAGGACAGAGAAAAAAAAAAACAAGAACTAACAATTAACACACAGCTACTCAGCTACCTTGTTGTATTTCTGCACCTTTTTACAAAATCTGATCCTTTCATAACTTTCAGAAACAGCAGCAACGTTTTACAGAGCAGAAACATCCTGAAGGCCTGATGCTTCACATCCCTGTCTGTATGTAAAACAGGCAAAGCCAAGAGCAAGCAGACCCTGATGTGAATATTCGCCTGTGTGTAAAAACATGCAGTGATTATCACACCTTATTAAACAGAATAGGACCCGATCAGTGAGGCCAGCAGCTTTTGATTTTGAAGTAATCACAAAGAGACACACACTTACATCTCCTGCAAATGAGACAAAGTAAGATCTGGAGCTGCTGATGGAGAAGTTGTGGTACAGTTCCTGTTCAAACATGGTTTTCCCTTCCTGCGAAAACACAAGACAGAGAAAGAAACATCAAGTACAAGTACATTCTCTTTGAAGTTTAAGGACCACATATGTGACTGCAGAGTTTCATCCACAGAATACAAAACACCTCCACATTAAAACCTCGCTGTTCATTTAAAAAGCAAGTTTTTAGACTGATTTCCTTCCTTCCAGACAGTCACAGCTCATTTCTATGGAAATCAGTGTGAGATGTAAGAGTCGGCTGTTTTATTAATGCAAGAAACAACCATATTCACATGAATCACCTTTTCACAAAATCCATGCTTTCAAATTGTTGATTTTAACAACAGAGCTCATTAGAAGCAAAACATTCAGTAGAAGACTCAAATTATTGGATGCCAAGTGTGCTTGAAAGTACCACCAAGAGTAATTCCTGGTCTCCACTGCATTATCAACCACAAAACAAAATGGATCTGCAGCATGTGTAAGTCTCTGCAGGTTTGCTTTTAACAGAAATGAACTGAAAAACAAAGGCATATTTTGTCCACAGATAGATGTCAGAGCCTGTATGAGCGTCAGACAGTAAATGCACATCAGTGGCTGGTTATATTCACTTTAATCCATTAGGGTTGCATAATTGATTGCACATCATCTTTAAAGCACATGTTAATTTGTTCACTGACTACCAACAGTGTATGGATGCAGTCTGGCCACAGTCCACATAATGTAGAGGCAGTGTACAAGGCCAAAGAGAGAAGAGAAAAACGTGAACAGATACGTTTTCACCCGAGACAGACATTTAAATGTTTCCATTAAACACAATCATGTTGTATAACAACCTCACTGACAGTTAGTTTGGCGATTTGAGAAACATTCAGATGCTTCTTTTTACAGAGTTTTAACAATGTGAAGTCTACAATCCTCATGTATTATAATGCAATATAACTGCAGTTTGGAAAAAGGAGATGATCAGTTTAAACCATTTTTCTCCCTAATGCACTTAGGTCACACAGGTGACAAATGAGAAGAAAAACAATACTATACGATACTTTTCTCAGATAATCATCCGATAATGGGAAATTATGAATTATTAGAGTAATTAAATTACAGCGGATAAATTATCTCTCCATAATAATTAGGGATGCACGATATATCGGCATTAATATCGGTATCGGCCGATGTTCGTCATTTTTTAACATATCGGCATCGGTCCGATGAGTAAAATTGGGCCGA